CTCCCTTCCCCTCACCCTGCACCCCCTGCCTTCACCCTGCTAAATATGCTGCCTAACCTTTCAGGTACGTTAGGTAGGCTTTCAGGTAGGCTCTCCCGGAGATATGATGGGCTCCATTTTCCCTACGATGTCCCAAGGTTGGGTCCCACAGAGTCCAGGAGAATGAGATGGAGCCAGCATGCACTCAGCATCTCATCTGTGAAATGGTGATGACCTCCCTCCCTGGGGCATGCAGGGGATACAGTCAATGGCTGTAAAGTGCCCAGCCCAGGCCTGGTGGATGGTTGAGTGTCAGTGGTGCTGTCATTATTACGCTCTTCCAAGCCGGCAGTCCACATACAAAACTTCTCAGCTTTACCAGTAACGAACCTGGTGGTCTCAGCCTCACGTCTCCCTCCCCTGGGAGGTTCCTAGGACGAACAGTCCATGAGCTAAAGGGTATGAAGCTGCTGTTTAATAATAATAATAAACCAAATCAGTTGCTGTTGATTCCAATTCATGGTGACTCCATGTGTGCAGAGTAGAGCTGCACCATAGGGTTTTCATGGCTGTGACTTTTCGGAAGCTGATCGCCAGACCTTTCTTTTGAGGTGCCTGTGGGTGGGTTTGAACCACCAACCTTTTGGTTAGTAGCTGAGCACTTAACCATTTGCACCACCCAGGGACTCGTACTATTTAATAATAATTGCTACCCTATGGGGACATTTCATATACGTTATCTCACATAATACTGAATGAGAAATCAGAGGCCCAGAGAAGTTCAGCGACTTTCTCAAGGTCACACAGCCTCAAGGGATGGAGCTGAGATTGAACCCCAGGGCGTTTGGACTCAAAACTTGTTCCCCTAACTGCTCCATTACTCCAAGCTGGCCTAGCCTCTAGGACGAGGATTCCTAACCTCTAGGAATTCCTAGAGTACGGGGATCGTAGCCGCTAGGATGAGGCACCATGAACCCCTTGAATTTGTATGGAAAACATGGTGTGCTACAGCATTTTTCTGGAGAAAGGTCCACAGCTTTTATCAGGGGTATGATTTAAAAAAAAAAAAAAAGAAATCCATAAAATGTTTCAAGAAACAATTCCTGCTTTCGATAATATCAAAGGTCGGGTTTGGTGTCATCCTAAAAGGTTAGGGGTATGCCTCAGACATCGTGGCTTTTTCTCATCGGTCTTAGGTCACTTTGTCTGACTGTCGTTTTCGCTATTAGTTAATCTGATCCCATGGAGATAAGTGGGAATGTGCAGACCAGGAAGGCTGGCACCTGTCCGCCTTCCGGAGGACAAGCCCCATCCCTCACACATCCCTCACACAGCTGGTAATCAGCTGTCAGATGTCAAGCTCAGAGTGGTGGGATACTGGAGTAAAACCGAGCTCCTAATCCCAGGCCGGATGCTTGGAATTCTCCCTAGTAAAGAACAGAAGGAAAGCGAGAGTGTGAGCAAATGGTGTATTTGGAAAGGACGGTCAGTTCAGCATTGACGTCAGCAAGGAGACACGATATTCCTGCACCATCTAAATGGTTAAATGAATTCTGAGATCCTGGGGTGGGAGGTAAGGAGAAATAGGAGAGGGAAAGGAGAGAGAATTGTGTTGGCGTCGGCTTGGGATTTATTTATTGTACTTGCTGTTGATTAAGCCCGCTCCGCAGCAGGCGCGGGGCTGGTAAATACACAGGCTGATTCATTAGCTTCTGACCATCTGCTTCCCGGGCCCGGAGGCGGGGGGCCGAGCGGACCCTGCAGGTTAGGGCAGCCAGGCATTGGCAGCCGGGTTGGGGCCCCCATCCCCTGGCAGAGCCGTGTCAGTCTTCCCAATGACAGACAGGCTGGGCGCAGCTGGGAGCTGCGAGGGATCCTACGAGGACGCTGGCCCTCTGGACACCTGGTGTGGACCAGGAGGCCCAGGCAGATGGGGGAAGGTAAGGTAGGGGGACAAAGAGGGACCAGGGAAAAGGCAAGATGTGGGCAGCCAAGAGCAGCTGGAGGGTGACAGGAATAATGTCAACACTCAATATGAGATATATTGATATTAACATAATTTTCATTATAATTAATGTATGATAGTAATAACAACGGTAATTTAGTAAGCTGTTACTGAGGTCTAGGCCCCATACAGAGGCTTCACTACACTGTCTCAGATAAGCACACTAACAACCCCATGATGAGTGATGAGGTAAGTGGGTTCAAAGACTGAGCCAGACAGGGCAGGCTTTCTGGAGGAGGCGTGTGGGAGTAGGGCTCTGAAAATTGGGAGAGAAGAGAGTGGCTGCAGGATCAAAAGCCTGGAGACAAGGGTGTATGAGGCAGCCTGGGAGAAGGCATAGCCTTCAGTGACTGGGTTAATAAAGTGCTTTCCAGGTGGACAGGGCAATGTGAAGCCACCTGATGTCAGCATACTGAGAAACCAGGCAAGTGGAGGGAAGCTCCCAGAGAGCCTCTGGGGAAATTGTCAAAAACTCACAATTCAGTCTTGCCCCCTCTGAGCCATTCCTCCTACCCTGGGATGAGGGTCCAGGGGCAGTAAGAGAAGGCAGAACTGGGACTGTGGGAAGAGGGCAATTGCTGGGCTGGGGGAAAAGGGGAGGACCCATGCCTGATTGCAAACTGTGTTCCCACCCCTTCCCACCTCCCACCATTCAGGTGTGAGCTCTTAAGTCAGTTGTCCACCACTCCTCAGCCCCTAATGACGCAAGCAGAGCCCATTCCACCTCTAGGCTCAGAGCAGCCTCCACTAAGGGCCGTGATGATGTCTAGGGAGGGGGCTCGCCCTCACGGGTCAGGCCTTCCTCCTCAGGCCCCAGTGCTCTGCTATCCTCTCGTCACCAGCCCCTGCCTCTGTGGCCCATTGAGTTATCCCCTTGGGGCATCTCAGCCCTCACCTCATTTAGGGTGGCTTGCCCAGGTCACCCAGCTGGGGTGTGAGGAAGCTCAGAGCAGGCACCCTCCTGGTGGTGGTACCTGTGAGCCCGCCAGCATTGCGGGACCCCACTGCAGCTGTCCAGGGCAGAGCAGGCTCATCCTCAGAAATACCACTCTCTGTCAAAGAGGCCTTGGGCCTCAGTTTCCACATCTGTACAATGAGGCATTGGACTCGATGGCGTCTCTTCCACCCAGAGGTTTATGGGTCGCCTGAATCGGCGAGGGCCAGGCCAGGTGTGGTGGACAGTGATGTCATGGAGAGCCGAGGACGGAACTATTTGGATCAAGGAGGGCTTTGTGGAACCTGCCCCGCTAAACCCCAGGGCCAGCCTGCCCAACGAGGAACCCTGGTAGCTTGGGAGTTTGTCCTCTACCATTGCAGATCAAAGCCGATGGCCTGAGGCCCAGCTGCAGTGACACGGGGTGGGTGCGGGTTGGGGGAGTGTCGGTCCAGCCCCTCAGAAGCTGATGAGCCCACTTCCCCCCTGGGGCCAAATGGCTTATTTCAGAGTGAGAGGTTTTCGCTCAGATCCAAGCCGTTTTGTCTCTGAACAAACCAGAGACCTGAAATATTCATCAAAAACGGCTGCGAGTAGTCTGGGCACAGTATGGCTATTAGTGACATTTTCAGGCCTCCCGTGTGAGTTCGCACAGTGGACCAGACACGGGGAAATGGGTTTCAGCCGCCATGGAGGGAAAACCTCACCTGGTACCCACTGGGTGGGGGAGTGGGCTGACCAGGCTTCCAGGGGCCTTTATGGGGCCGGGGGAGGGGAGAGTAGGCCTGTGTCAGACACATCTGTGTCAGAAGTAGGGCGGAAGGAGAGTAAGCAAGCAAGGGGGTGGTCCCTGTGATCCTCAGCCAGTGTCCCCTACAAGGGACCTGCCAGGCACGTGCCAAGAACCCAGAAATGACTTGCCACAAAGACACGCACGTCTTGGGAGGGAGCCGACCTACTAACCTTCAGCATCCTTCCCATGTGCCCAGGGCTACGCCTGAGATGGACACACATAATGCGGGGCCAGAGAAAGGCATAACAATCAGACGGGATGCATCAGACCAGCCGGGTTTGGCTCTTCTCTTCTTGGCTGGGGATGTGTGCAAGGGACTCCACCTTCCTGGGCCTGGGTTTCTTCATCTTGAACTCGGAGATAATGCACCTGCTTTGTGATTGGAGGGGAGATTATAAATATGAGAGAACTGAGATCATCAAGTCCGTAGCGCAATGCCTAGCATCAGGTAGCAGCTGGACAAATGGCAGCCGTAACTGACTTCTACCACCAGCGCTCCTGTTGCTACTGCTAACGGTAGTTTTCAAACGGTCCAGAAGGCATCTGTGTAGGAGATGTTTAAAGAGTCAAGAATGTGAGTGGGAACTTTCAAGGCAGAGAGTGAAGGGCCAGTCGAGGAGAGGGAAGGGCTTCTGCAAAGGCTCAGAGGCGGGACAAGCAGTGCTTGGAGGACGAGAGTGGTTCAGGTGTGCCCAGCCCAGGTGGCCATAAATGTGGTAGGAGGACAGGCCAGAGTCAACTGTTGAGGAGTTATGACTTCATCCTACAGGCAGTGGGGAGCCACGGGGGACTTTGAAGGAACACCCTCCCTTTTTGATTGTATTTAAGCCAAACCAGTTACCATCAACTTAAATTCAGCTCCTGGTGACTCCATGAGTGTCAGGGTAGGACTGTGCTGCATGGGGTTTTCGATGGCTGGTTTTTTAGAAGTAAATCAACAGGGCTTTGTTTCGAGGTGCCTCTGGGTGGACAAGAACCTCCAACCTTCTGATTAGCAACCGAGTGCATTAAGTATTTGTGCTACCCAGGGACTCAGAGGAGAGATAAGTGTGTGCTTTCTTGGGAAGCCATAGAGTTGCACATCTTTCTGTGCTTTGAGGAAAAGTGGGGGAAATTGGTACAAATTACCCTACCTGGGAGACTTCCTGATGCCGGGACATCAGGACACAGAGAGTCTGTGTATCCCTGGGCCAGAGCCTGGACATGTGGGCAGGGAGCAGCAGACAGAGGCCTCCCAGCCCTCCTGAGCAGCCAATGCCCACCCTTCCCTTCTCCTCTCCCTGCTGCAGGAGAACCCATACCTGTGCAGCAACGAGTGCGATGCCTCCAACCCGGACCTGGCCCACCCACCCCTGCTCATGTTCGACAAAGAGGACGAGGGGCTGGCCACATACTGGCAGAGCGTCACGTGGAGCCGCTACCCCAGCCCACTGGAAGCCAACATCACCCTTTCCTGGAACAAGAGCGTCGAGCTGACAGATGACGTGGTGGTGACCTTTGAGTATGGCCGGCCCACCGTCATGGTCCTTGAGAAGTCCCTGGACAATGGGCGCACGTGGCAGCCCTACCAGTTCTACGCAGAGGACTGCATGGAGGCCTTCCATATGCCTGCCCGCCGGGCCCGGGACCTCTCATCCTCCAGCGCCCACCGGGTGCTGTGCACCGAGGAGTACTCACGCTGGGCAGGCTCCAAGAAGGAGAAGCATGTCCGCTTCGAGGTGCGGGACCGCTTCGCCATCTTTGCCGGCCCTGACCTGCGCAACATGGACAACCTCTACACACGGCTGGAAAGCGCCAAGGGCCTCAAGGAGTTCTTCACCTTCACGGACCTGCGCATGCGGCTGCTGCGCCCGGCGCTGGGCGGCACCTACGTGCAGCGGGAGAACCTCTACAAGTACTTCTACGCCATCTCCAACATCGAGGTCATTGGCAGGTAAGGCCCGGGATTGGGGGGGTGGTGCGTGGTGGCAGAGCCCGGGTTGTTACCTGGTGGGCAAAGGGGCCGCCTGTGCTGGTTGGGGCCACACTGAGGAATTGAATGGAGGGAGGGGAATGTGTAGACGGTCAGTGTCCTCGCTGGAGCCTGGGCTGCCTCCAGCCACGGGAAAGCTAGGAGGCTTGCAGAGGATAAGTGGGGCTGGCAGTGTGGGCAGAGCTCGGGCTAAAGCCTGGTGCTGATGCGCAGAGGTATTTTATAGTCTATTACTCAGTGGATGAGCTCTTGTGTTCAGAGATCTCCAATATCACCCTCAGTTTCAATGATTCGCTGGAAGGACTCACACAGAACTCAACAAAGCTGTTCTACTCATGGTTATGGTTTATTACAATGAAAGTATACAGATTAAATCAGCAACAGAAAAAGGCACATAGGGAAGACTCCAGGAGAGGCCAGGAGCAAGCTTCTAGTTGTCCTTGCCCAGTGGAATCATGGACAGAGCTTACGTCTCCCAGCAATGATGTGTGGCATGGAGTATTGCCAACCAGGGAAGCTTATCCAAGCCTTGGTGTCCAGGGTTTTTATAGTAGACTAGGCACATAAACATGGCTGAGCAGCATGTGGCTGACCTTACTTTTTAGCCCCTCCAGAGATCACATTGGTACTGCATGGCCCAAGACACCCACCATAAATCACATTATTAGCATAGACTCTCTGACATGGCCCAAGGCCCCAGGTAAACAAAGGCACTCTTATCAGGCAGGATATTCCAAGGCTTAGAGACATCTCCTAGGAGCCAGGCAAGAACCAAACCTGTCTTTGGAATGTGCAGGGTATGGACAACCCAGAATTGCTGAGTTAATCCTTTACTGCACAGCTTTGGGGAAAAATATGTTTGGAGGGCACTTTTTGAGGAGGCAAAAGACTGTCACAGGATGTAAAGCAGCTTTTGGTTCCAAGGAACCATTTAGATCGTGGATGGTTAAATGGTTTTACGCTGCCTCAGATCATTTGTTCATTTGACAGACAATGTTCTGATCTGTGGGGACCAAGACTTCATCCCTGAGCCATCTACATAACACCCTGGTCTGTACTCAGGAGAGAGGCTTAGGGAGGCACCCATCACTAGGTAGCCCAGGGAGAGAGTGATATGGGGCAGTAGAATGTGATGCAGGGGTTCTCCAAGTGTGGTCCTTTACAGGCATCATCAGCATCACCTGGGAGCTTGCTTGAAGGGCCGATTCTCAGGCCTCGTGCCAGACCTTCTACATTATGAACTCCAGGCGGTGGGGCCCGGCAGTCTGGCTTTTCACAAGCTCTCCAGGACATTCTGATGCACACTTTGAGGCTAAAGTTTGAGACTCACTGGTGTAATGGTTGGGAGTATGGACCCTGGAGCCAGAAGGCCTGGGTTTGATTTCCGGCTCTGCCATCCACTGACTGTGAGCCTTGGGCAAGTGCCACTTTGTGCCTCAGTTTCCCCATCTGTAAAATAGGGATGAAAGCGATCATTATCATTGGACTGTGGTGAGGGTTAATGAGTTAAATGAGTTAAAGTTTGTGAAGTACTCAGAACGGCACCTGGCGTATAATTCTTGCAACAGAAAAAAGGTGTTTGTTGAATATAATCATGGAATCAGAGGGCTGTGGCAGGCTGAGGGAGGACAGATTTGAGACCTAAGGAGGTTGGGCCATAATCAGGGCCAGCAGCATGGCTTAGGCAGATGAGGGCAGGGGCTGCACTCAGAGCCCAGCTGGGACAACACACCCTGGGCGTCTTTCCACAGCAGGCTCTAAATACTGCCCAAGTTTATAACTACAGAGAAGGGAGAAAAGCAATTTGCTGTGTAGTGTGTATAGCATAATCCTATTTTTATAAAATACATAATATGACTGTGCATATACTTCCTATGTAGTATACGCATTGGGAAGAAGCTTTACAGGAAAAACACCACAGGGATGGGAAAAAGGCCGAAAGCATATTCACTAACTGTTGACAGTGACTGCGCCTGGGGAGGGGCTGGGTAAGCGCGGCATGGTGCGTTCATTTTCAGCTTGTGCTTGCATTTTATTTCATTTTGATAACACGTATGGATTGCAGCTGGACAAAGGCAAAGGCAAGTGGATTGTGAAGTAGGAGTCAGGTCCAAGGCGGGCAGATTTCAGGGCTGGCAGATGGGGTGTGGCTGGTGCACATGCAGGAGGCTGGGGTTCCAACTCCCATGTTTTCTAACTCCTCCCCCCAATCCAGACTCCCTAGTATTTAATCTCTGAAACGTTCTGGAAACCACCAGCTCTATGGCCACTATTGTGGGAGTCGGGGGTCGGGGTCGTGCTGCTATGCCTGTTATCTAACCCGTGTGCATAGACAGTGTGGTCATCTCAGTGACCCCTGCTGTTGGGATGTGACTGTCCAGTTGGTGTACGGCTCCCCTTGCAGTCCTGCTCGGCTTAGCAGCCCTGGGGTGGGAGCAGGATCTGTAGGCCTTCCAGGGGTTGCAGCCCGTTTTCCAATCTGTCGAGCTGCCCTCACCTTTGTGACTCTGGTCAAGGGCCCCATTCCAGGCCGGGGTTCTGATATCTGGGCTAGCTGCTGGGTCCTGGCTGGGATGGTGACAGTTAGGGCCTTGTTAGTTGCTGTCAAGTCGATTCAGATTCATGGCGACCCCGTGTGTCAGAATAGAACTGCCCCCTAGGGTTTTCAAGGCTGTGACCTTTCAGAAGCAGATTGCCAGGCCTGTCTTCTGACACTCCTGTGGGTGGGTTTGAACCACCAACCTTTCAACTAGTAGTCAGGTGCTTAACCATTTGCACCACCCAGGGCTTCCTCAGGGCCTTGTGGCGCCCCTTCAGACCCAGCAGGACAACGATCATTCTCTGCCATAGGAGGGACTGAGACCCAGACCCAGAAGTGGGACAGAGCACACTCATGAAGGAACGCAGGGCCAGAGGGGGCAAGAAACAGTCTCAGTTCCTCAGCCTCATCCAAGTGAAGATCACTGTGCTAGTGCCAGGTGACCTGGGTGATCTGTGCCTCTACTTTCCCTCTCTGGGCCTCAGTCTCCCACCTGTAACATGCAGGCTGGGGCTGCCTGGAGCCCCTGTTTCCCTGGCGAGGTGGCAGGGCAGTCCCTGCCCAGCGGCTCACAGCTCCCCTTGTCACCCAGCCTCTGCGGGTGGCAGGGATTAGCCGTAGTGGTGTCGAAAGTACAGCAATCGATTTACGGATAAAGTAAGTACTCTTTGGGCGGCTGGTTGGCAGGAAAGCAGTAGCTTGGCTTATCGATTAATTAGGTCTGGTTAGATGGTTCAGCAAAGGACTGTGACTTCCTCCTCTTTTCCTTTTTAAATTTCGGGTGAGAAAGCCAACCCAGGGAACCAGAGAGGCAGGGGGAGGTGGGCACAGCAAAGGGAGACGCTGGACCCAACCAGATGATGCTTTCTATGTCCCTGAGCAGGCACCTGAGGACCCTGAGGGGTCTCACGTTCTGGGTTTTCAGATTGAACGCGTTACGGTGTTCCTTGAGAATTTCATGATCCTGATATTCCACATTGCCTCCCCACACTGTGTGCTAACATAGTAGCTAATATTTATTGAGCATTTGCTGTAGGTCAGGTGCTGTGCTAAGGGCTTTATGTGCATGATCTTCTTCTTTAATCAACAGTAATCAATTCCCCAATTTTTACTGAATGCCAAAGATCCTATAAAGGAGCCCTGGTGGTGCAATGGTTAAGCGCTCGGCCACTAACCAAAAGGTTGGCGGTTTGAACCCACCAGTGAGTGGCTCCTTATGAGAGAACACCTGGTGATCTTCTCCCATAAAGATTGAAAAAAAAAAAAACCCATTGCCATCGAGTCCAACTCATAGTTGAACCCTATAGGAAAGGGTAGAACTGCCCCATATAGTTTCCAAAGAGCACCTGGTGGATTCAAACTGCCGACCTTTTGGTTAGCAGTGGTAGCTCTTAACCACTATGCCACCAGAGCTCCTAGGAAACCTACAGGGCAGTTCTACTCTGTTCTATAGGGTCACTATGAGTCGGAATTGACCCAATGGCACCTAACAGCAACAGCAAGATCTCACAAGCTAAGGATGCAGCTTTGAGCAAACTGGACCTGATCCCTGATCCATGGAGCTTTCCCTATAGGGACAGTGCTCCGCTCAGCCTCATGTTTTCAGATGATGAGGCACCTGAGGCTTATCGAGGTCGGGGAACACAACTGAGATCACACAGCTACACCCATCGTGTCTGTTGTTCCAGCAGGTCTCTGCTGCTGAGCTTTCTCTAGTGAGGCACCTGCTCCTTGGACTTTTCATTTCTGGGACCAGGTCTTAGACAGTGACTCTGCCTCTCTTGAGCTCAGGTCATTTATATTGTGTCCTGATTGGACGGGGTGACAGGCGATCCCCACTGGCCTCCCCTCCAGCTTCTTTGATCCATGGTTGCTCCCCTCCCCCATCACTGATGTCAGCTATTTCCAGCTCCAAAAGGGACTCAGATGGGAGGAGGAGTCTGAGGGGACAGAGCAGAGGCACCTGGCTGCTAGAGGGGTGGGGGACCCAGAGCAGCTGGAGAAAGCCCAGGGCCTCAGGAATGAGGATCAACTAGTGCAAATCAGAAGCTGAGAAGAGGGGGCAGACAGAGCTGCAGGCCTTGGGGTGTGGGGGTGGGGAGGCTGGTGCTGGTGGCACAGAAAGAAACAGCCGCCAGCATCTCTGGGCCACCACCACCCCCTGTCCCCAGTCATTATTCACTCCCATTCCTGGAAGGCAGGAAGGAGGCGGGAGCAATTATCTCCTTCTACACGTGGGGAAACCCAGGTGCAGAGCAGGAGAGTGGCTGGCTTTGAACCATGCATTGAATCTGGGATGAAACCAGGACTTGAGGAGGAATGAGATCATCCCTTCATGGTGCTTGGAGCCAGGACAGATCCACCGCCAACACAGTGGTTAAGAGCACTGAGGTGCAAACTTGATCCAGCCTCAGAATCATAG